AATTGAGAGTTGGAATATATTTAATTCCCTTAGAAAGAATGTATATCCATACAAATTAAATTACCTACATTATTTAATAGAAGAATGTCAGTGAGAAAATGGCATGCTCATTATCCCCAGCGATTTTGCTATCAGGACACAACTCTGATCTTTCATTGTGGAACTAGCTTGTGAGTCAAAAGGGATCCACAGACCATGGGATGCTCAATGCTGGAACACAACACTAATAGCTGATGGATAATTTGACTGATTAGAATGACGTATCACTTATCATTATCAATAAATCATAGCATGTGAAACCATACTGCATACCTTGAATATTGTTGCTTCGACTCTCCTTCTCCTCTCATAGCACAAAGCATTTTGCTTAACAACAGCCACATTCTTATTAAAGTGAGCCCACAGGAAATGTTTGAAAATGGTAGCCTAAGACCGGAATCACATGAAGGTTTGTTAAAATGCAGATTTCTGAGGCTGGGCTGGTTCTGGGAGTAGGAATTATTAAGACTGCCAATGATAACAAATTTACAGAATTATTGCCCTGAAATGTACAAAGGCAGGCTTTTTAGTCTCTTTCTTGATTTTTCCGGTTTTTTTCTTGTGCATATTCTCCAACAAGAAAGCAGTTAATCTAGAACAGTGATTTCAAACCCCAGCTCCCACTTGCTTTGGAATTGCACATTGGGAGCTTGATTTCAAAGGTGTGTAGTGAAGCTTGGATCATTCTAATGTTTCTCCAGAAATCACAATTCTGACAATCCTGATTTTATCAAAGCTCTATGAGTGCTAAATAGTTTTTCTGAATAGAAGACAAATATCTTTCTCTTGTTAATTCTTTTATTAAAAGATACATAACAGTATATTTTATCCTACTCTAGCCTTACATGAAAACCTAACCCCAAGACTGTATATGATGTAGTATTTGACATTTTGAATAAATAATGGAACATCTGGAATCTTCAAAATCAACCTAGAAATTTCAGTTTTGCACAAATCTGTTAATACTCTAGGATCTGGATAAACAGATTACATTGCCTATGCTGAGTTAAACCAGATTAATGAAACATTATAAGTATCTCAGTGTAATACTCCAGATTTGATGTAATCTACCTCTGCAACATATAGCTTTAGAGAGGCACATTCCCCTTTGCCTCAGAGAAGCCATCTTTTTCCCAGACTGTCATCCTCTGTGGCTATCACAACTGGCTCGCTTATTTTTTAAGTTAAATTATTTGTCTTCCATGTAGTTGGAGAAAGTCAATTATCTTAAAAACTTCAGTGTTTTCTTGATGGTTATCTTCAAATGTGACACCCACATGAGAACAAAGAAAACTTTTTGAAAGGTCCTGATGAAGGTGGAGCAGTTTTAAAATTACCCAGGGCTCAGTACTCAACTTCTCAGTGGGGAGCAAATGTCCATCCTGTGAGAGGAAACTCCAATATTCAACAAGTGTAATGAGTCCAAAGTCCCAGGACTCAAGGAATACACTCAGCACTTTGCCTGAAGTCATGTATGGGAAACAAACACTTTAGTACCTGCAACATTATAGGATAAAGGCCATACTAGCAGGCGATGAATATCATGCCTTAGGAACTCCAAGCAGACAACGATTTTCTGTACTTTGCTTTAGAGGTGAGAGCAGCACTGGAGGCTCAGGGAAAGTGACATACAGAAGACAACAGCTGCATTTTGGTTGGAGGTAATTTGAAGATGTTTGTTATTTCATATGGTAGGGATGAGGGAAAATGGGTGGTGGAGAGAAAGGTCTACTTGTTTACTTTCCGTCTCCTGTGGAGTATTTGACATCTGGGAGTTCCAAGTAGCATTTTTAAAGCTGTGTTTCAGATCACCTTTATGATTTTCAATTGGCAATAATCTCAGATGCCCCAGATGATCTTTTACACTTTGGTTAGATATTGTGATGATGCCTTTATAACTACTTCAAAAGGCTGAACCACTGGCCAAATTTTGAAAAGTAGATCATCAATCCAGAAAGTGTGACACTGTGTTCACACACAACCAAGGATTGCAAATGATGCAATTTTAGCACCATATTCTTCATCTAAGACAACTTACCAGAATCCTTTGCATAAATTAATAGTTAAGATTCTCTTTATAGTTCTCCAGTGATCCAATAGTGCACCTTCTCTAGTGGTTGACTATGCGCAGACATCAGTATCTACACAGAGTCTAATCAAGTTGTCCAACTAATATGCTGAGATCCCTGGAAAAACCCAGGAATTTTCAGAAAAGCATTAGTTACCTCTAGAAGTGTTATTTCTTCCACTTTCTTTCTCATGGTACCAAATAGTTTCGCATTAGCTCTAAAGGAGGTAATCTACTTACTCTATCAGGTCCCTTATCTGTATTATCTGTGGCAAATAATTCTGTTGACTTTGCTCTGAATAATTACCAAGAGCTCACTTAACAGGGCCATAATTCTCTCCCCATCTGACTGGGGAATGTTCTTAAACTCCCTTAATCATTCCAACCCACATTCTTTCAGTATAGCAACAGCGTGTCTGTAACTTTTGTTTCTTTTAATTCAGGATCATCACAGTGGGTATAAAACAGTGACCACCTTTCATAGAGTGAACTATACTTATACTATACTTACAGTGTTTAATATATATTATCTCATTTGATCCTTAGGACAAAAAGTTATATACATATATGTGTATCTATAAATGTATGTATTTATTGCTTTTTATAGGTAGTACTGAAACTACAGTTCAAGGGCAGTAGCCCAAATTTACTCCACTAGTGAGCAATAAACTCGGGATTTTAAACAAGTCTTTGGTTTCAAAAGTCTATTTTGTTAAGGCTCATAAAATAATTCTTTGGTGTAGCAAAGCCCCTTGCTCATTTATATAGACCACTTTAAATGTATTGAGTATATTAGTTAGAAACATTTTGAATACTAGTGACAAAAAAAAAAAAAAAAACTAACTCAAGCTAGCTTAGTAAAAAATGGAAACTTACCAGTTCAGTTGTCCGCAGGAGAAAGCAGGGGTGCGGCTGAGCACAGGCCCATGGAGATAGGAACTCTTGTTCTGTGAGGCCTCTCTTTCTCTCCCTCATTTTCTTTTCTTTTCTTTTTGCACACCACCTCCCCCAACACACACACGTTTTTGTTTTTTTTTTTTTTCCCCAGACAAGCTTCTTTACATAATGAGAAGCAAAGCCTTCAGCAACATCTCTAGCTGGTTTGGGTTAGAGGCCCATCTCTGGACTCATCAATTGTGGCCAAAACAATGGAGCCCTGTCATGTGAAGCCCCCTTTAGAACCTCCACATGTCTAGAATCAGGAAGAGAGATTCCCCGAAGAGGGAGGTTAGCATTCCTGGGAGGAGGGAATTACATGATTTTCAACTTCTATTTTCATATGGGTAGAAATGCATTTACCACACTCCTAATGTAAATCAGAATTTCTGATTTTCTGATGCTCTAACCACATTTCCTAATGCTACATTGCACCCAGCACAATGTCTGGCACCCAGCAGATGTTCAACTGCCATTCTTGAAAGTATAAATACATTTCACTCATCTTTACCTTCATTCTACTGCTTCATCAAAAATATTTTGTATTTTCTTACATTCCATCTGGAAGTCTATAACTTAGTACCCATGTAATAAGGGATTTGGCACTATCACCTCTCTAAAATAACATGTGAAAATGGTAAGCATTTTACGGTTTTCTTGGGGAGACTTTTTTTTTTTTGAGGTGGAGTCTTGCTCTGCTGCCCAGGTTGGAGTGCAGTGGCACAATCTCAGCTCACTGCAATCTCCACTTCCCTGGTTCAAGCAATTCCCCTGCCTCAGCCTCCTGAGTAGTTGGGATTACAGGCGCACATCACAACACCTAATTTTTTTGTATTTTTGGTAGAGACGGGTCTTCACCATGTTGGCCACACATGAACTCCCGACCTCAGGCAATCCGTGCACCTTGGTCTCCCAAAGTGCTAGGATTACAGGTGTGAGCCACTGAGCCCTGCCAGGGAGACATTTATTTTTAAAAAGCAAGTGTATCTTGTCATTGAGATGCTCAGCCACAACAGTAACAAACCCATTCTAACACCAGCTTTGTGGTTTACCAAGTGATGTCAACTTCCCAATGTGGTAGATGACAAGGTGTGTATATAACTCGCATAAAAGCCAGGGCAAAGAGTTGAAACCAGCCTCATTGTCTGGGTGTTACTGGAAGTCCTTGTTATCACGGCAGAGGAAATCAAGGATGCTGACACTCCAAAGATCAGGTTAGAGCAGAAGTTTAATAAGCGAAAGGAAGAAAGCTCTCGGGAACAGAGAAGGATCCCAGAAAGATGGGTTGCCATTTTACAATGAAATGCAAGGGTTTTTGTAGACAAGCTGGTGGGGAGGGGTGTTTCATTTACATAAGACTCGAATTTCTGACAGTTCCCACCCCACTTTTTCTAGTGCTCATGCGGGCTCCTTAGTCTTTTTTTTTTTTTTTTTTTTTTTTTTTTTTTTTTTTTTGAGACGGAGTCTCCCTCTGTCGCCCAGGCTGGAGTGCGGTGGCCGGATCTCGGCTCACTGCAAGCTCCGCCTGCCGGGTTTACGCCATTCTCCTGCCTCAGCCTCTCGAGTAGCTGGGACTATAGGCACCCGCCACCTCGCCCGGCTAGTTTTTTGTATTTTTTAGTAGAGACGGGGTTTCACCGTGTTGGCCAGGATGGTCTCGATCTCCTGACCTCGTGATCTGCCCGTCTCGGCCTCCCAAAGTGCTGGAATTACAGGCTTGAGCCACCGCGCCAGGCCTCCTTAGTCTTAAATTACTCCACATTGAGTATCTCTTCCCACTGCGCATGTGTGAAAAAGGCCAGAAGGCAGAATCCTCCACAGTGGACTCTCCTGGTCCAGGGTAGCTCTTCTTATCAGTGCTGCTGCAGGCACTCCCAGCTGTGCAAGCCTCCTTGTCTGAGTATTTCCAAGAAGGGAGAGGACTGTGCTTACTGGGGCCCACTGGATGGCTGTCTGTCACACAGGAGGCCCCTTTCTGTGTTAGAAGCTGCTTTTTGTTAGAAGGACCCTTGCCCTATCTGCCTAGTTGATTTCTTTCTCTCTCCTCTCACAGAGTGTCACAGAAAGAACTCCAATCCATCAAGCAAAAGTAATTAACAGCAATTCAAATCTTTATTGGACTCTTAGAAAATAAGGATATCTAATTTGTAGCTCCCACATAGATTTTTGTCTCCACTCCTGTTTTTAATTAATTCAATAATATTTACTAAATGTCTCCTATGTGTCAGACGTGCTTCCACAGCCCATAGAGCCTGCATGTCTCCCCTCCCTGAGTTCCCCTCTTCACTCCTTGGATTCAACTCTCAACTTCAAACTGAGTTTTGAAGTCAGTCAGGGGTGGGGGAGGGTGGTTCGTTTTGTTTGTTTGTTTGTTTGTTTTTGAGCCGGAAGTTTTGCTCTTGGCGCCCAGGCTTGAGTGCAATGTCGTGATCTCAGCTCAGTGCAACCTCCCCCTCCCAGGTTCAAGGGATTCTCCTGCCTCAGCCTCCCAAGTAGCCGGGATTACAGGCACCCGCCACCACTCGTGGGTTAACTTTTTTTTTTTTTCTTTTTTGTATTTTTGGTAAGACGGGGTTTCGCCATGTTGGCCAGGCTGATCTTGAACTCCTGACCTCAGGTGATCCGCCTGCCTCGGCCTCCCAAAGTGCTGGGATTACAGGCGTGAGCCACTGCGCCTGGCTGGGAGGGTGGCTCTTGACTTACCGGGCCTCCTCTCCCTTCCAAGGTCTTCTTTAATTCTGTACATTATTTTACTTATTTCTAACAAGTACCTTGATCTTCATTTGTGAAATCTAGTGACCCAAATGCGGCTCCTAACCTCCCTGGGAGTTGATAGGGGTGGGGTTAGGAAGAGAGGGGAGAGAGGAAGAGCTGCTCTTCCCAAGAAGGGTTTTTGTTTTGTTTTGTGTTTATGTGTTTTGGCTTTTGGTTTTTAGTAGATGGGGGATGTGCACGTGGGAGGTGAGGGAGAGAGCAGACTGCAAACCCTGTAACTGATCCATTTATTATCTGTTCTTTCAACTGAGTAACATGCTTTTCAAAAGTGTTTTTCTATGTTTCAGAGACAGAAAAGGGGAGACAAAGAAGAAAAAGGAGGGGAAAAGGTAAAAGCAAGGAAGAGAATGAATTGCAGCTGAGGAAGTGGAAGAGCGAGAAGCGCTTCCAGATTCCAGGTAACCTCTTTCTTTGACTCCTGATTTGTCACTCATCTCCCTAAATGCCTTAATGACCTGTAACACAGGTGACTCACATGAAGGCCACATGGTGTATGTTTCTCTCACCACTGTCTGCTATTGAAGACATAGGATTTAGTTTTGGGAAGATGTGTGCTGGAAAAATAAAAAGCAGACACAGTGGTTGAATGCAAAATGAATCATAGGAATTATCCAGTAAAATGGCTTAAAATCATATTCCAGGCTCTGAAGTCATGGAAAGTCTGTCTTAATGCATTGGAACCTAATCTAGTAATTTCACCTGGGTTTCCCATCCAGGTATCTCTTCTCTAATTTGTTCAGAAGTAAACAAATTAACAGCTTTTAAACAGCCAATTGCCATGGACATTGATGAAATCTACAAGTTTCATTACTTGATGTCTAAAGACATTTCTTCCTATTTACATCAAAAACACTTTGGAATTCTTAAAGACAGCAAGCCTTTATTTGAAAGAAATACACGTTGAAGTTCTTTAAGGATGAAAGCAGAACTGTCTTGGAGCTGATGCTAAAGCAGAGTGAGAAGACCACGTGTATTTTCAAATAAATCTTGAAAAACTCCTGAGACTTGGGAAAGGGTGTAATAGAACACTGCCTGTAGCTGAGACTCACAGAAGCTTATCACAGCATAGAAGAAACTGATGGAAAACTCACATGGGCATCAGAAGTTTCCTTTTATTGGAAACTTTTGCAGTTTTGGAGCCTCCTTATAAAGACGTGAGTTGTTAACAGGCATCTAAATCTGGCACTAGAAACAATTGAGATGATTTTACAGTGTATCTGCCCAGATCCTCACTACTAGATTTTCTGGGTGTTTTCTTATTTTTGACAGTTGCCTCAATCAAATTCAGGCAGTCTTTTAAATTTCTGTGTAAAATTAACTGGCATTTTCAGGTATATTGGCATCATTTTAAAATCCACTTATTTTTAAGAACATTTGAATGTGAAAAGAGATGTATATGCAAACTGTTGGATCAGGCAAGTTTCCTTCAGGCTGTCTGGATGTGTCTATCTATAGCATTTGGCAAATACCTAGCTGTCACTCAAAAAAGATAGCTGTATGTTCAAAGTTAAATCTGAAGTACCTACTTGAAGTCTGCTTTATTTATTTTTTTAATTTGGCCAGTTCATTCTTGGGGAATGGAAAGAAAGGAAAATGGCCAGGCACAGTGGCTCATGCTTGTAACCCCATCACTTTGAGAGGCTGAGGTGGTTGGATTACTTGAGGTCAGGAGTTCAAGACCAGCCTGGCCAACATGGTGAAACCCCATCTCTACTAAAAAATTAGCTGGATGTAGTTGTACACGCCTGTAGTCCCAGCTACTGGGGAGGCTGAGGCAGGAGAATCACTTGAATCCGGGAGGCAGAGGTTGCAGTGAACCAAGATTGTACCATTGCACTCCAGCCTGGGCGACAGAGTGAGACTTTGTCTCAAAAAAAAAAGAGAAGAAAAAAAAAGGTGGAGGAAATGAAAGGAAATGTTTCCAGCTCTTTAACTTAATTCCATATACTTTAAAATTTACATTGAACATTAGCGAGTTCTTCAAGTGAATGGCGAATATTAGTCTGTCATTTTACATTAGAAGCAATGGGCTTAAGTCCTCAAACCACATTATAGCTAGACAACACAAAATGTTCTTCCTTAGTGTTAATTAACTCAAATACTCAGGTCAGAGGTCTTTATTTTGGCCTATGAATAACCAAATACTGATAATCCACTTTGCTGATTGAGATTGCAAATCTACAGATTTTGGGGGATTGAAGTAGGTTGTTTTTTGGGGGGTTGGATCTGGAGTTTGTAAAAATCTGTTATGCGGCTAAAACAACTGGAATTCACCTCTTTGTCTCTGAAATCTTAGAGATAAAGCCTATATCCTTAGTATATAGCCTGGGGTTTAAAGAGAATTGATGCTGATGGACTCTTGGTTGCCTATGCCGTATCCTTTCTTCTTTGTTTCTACCAGAACCTTGATTTTGTTTAGATATCTCCTCCTGTCTCACATAGTCATGCATTTCAGGGGAAGCTGACCCCAATCCCACCTCTAGGTGTGGACCTGATTGGCAGAAATATGACAATCTCATCCCCTTGCTCATGTTTAGTTCAGTGATAGGCATGGGGCATGGCTCTGGCCAGTGCAACTAGAGGCAAAGTTTGCTGGGTGGGGTCAGACGAGGAGTTTCAAGGACCGTTTCTGAGAGAGGATTATAAAGATATATTTCCCTTTTTCCTCTGAACGTTGTTGTATTTGGTTGTGATGCCTGGAGCTGCTGCAGCTATGTTGCTACCAGCCTGAGGTTAATGTTGATATGAGGAAAGGAGAGCAGAGTAAAAAAGAATCTGGCTCTTCAATGGCCATGATAAGCCACTGAATCAGCTAACTACTTCTAGACTTCTTTCTTTGTGAGATAATAAATTTCCCTATTGTTAACACCATTGGGTTTCTTTTATTGCCAGACAAATGGACCATAACTGATAAAGCTGTCTGCAGGGATTTGGAGCCTTGGTCGATTCGGTTGCTGAAATAGCTTTTCTAGTGCCACAACTTACAATAATGTGGGCTTTAACTATTCTATCAAAAATGAAAGCTGTATGAGACAGTTCAGTTGAAGATATGCCATTTTAGAGCAAGAATCAAAGCTAGTCTGTGTGATTTGGGGTGATCCAACAAACTTCAGTGTCACTTATTAAATTGGGCTGAAATTGCCTCTATTTCCCAGAAGTACTTTCAGGATAAATTCAATTATATAGTTTTAAAGTACTTTTAGAAGAAAGACATGTCATGAATTTGAATAATGATAGCCTTTTCTGACATGTCTTTATATCCATATAAGAACAAAGGCTTCTAGCATTTCCTCTCTCCTGAGTCGATGGAGTAATCATGCTTGTATGCCATTGTAATTTCAGTGGTAGCAAAGAAAAAAAATATTTAAGGATGTCCTAGAGAAAATCACTATAGAGATGAACTTCTCAGGTCCATTCCCAATATACACAGACCAAATAGCCACCCATAAGTGACACAGACGTATACAGAATCTCAGAACTAGACTTTTGACACACCAGTGGAGTGCAGATTCTATAACATCATGCAGAAATGAACAGAATGTTTTTGAAGCAAGTTTAAAGACAAAATTAATATTCAGTTATTTTAAGAGGAGAAACATACTATGTGGATAGACTGATTCAAGCTGAAAAATGTTAAATTTTCATGAGCAAGAGAATGAATGAATACAATTGAATATTATGCAGCAGTGAAAATTAACAGACAGGATGTACCTACATTTACAACAATGAACCACACATGTATGACAATAAACAGAAAAAGTAAAGCGTAGAAGAATGTATACAATATGTTCATATTAGTATAAAATATAATACCATGTAAATTGAGACTGTTCTTTAGGGATATTACATTTATAGTGAGTATAAAGAAACTCATGATGATGATAATCAGTGCATTTAGAATACCTGCTACCTTTGAGTATTAGGAAAGGGAATGTGATCAGAGGGAGAAGCAAATGGGTACTTTACACTTTAAATTATATTGGAAATATTTTATTCTTTAAACTGAATAACAAATGCATGAATCTTCACTTTATTATTTTTACAGTTTTATTGTTTGTGTGAAATTTTATAAGATGTGTACAATAAAACAAAATAAGTCTCTCAGTTTTATCCCTGATGGGAGACACACTGGTACTGAAAATGTTCTCAGCTGTGTGAGAATGACAGTCTTACTTTTGACTTAGAAGATTCTAGGTTCACTGTTGACTGTAGTGTTTTTCTAACCATATAAAAAGGGAAGCTCCTTGATACTTATATAAAAGAGCCAGACAAACATGTGAGCCTAACTAGAGTCTCTGGTTAGTTTATTATAATTGTTTTTCTTTTAATCCATGTCGAATGTACTACACTGTACTCTAGCAGGCAGAATTATACTGCTCAGATACTCTTCCCCTTGCAAGGTAATTGTCATGGCTCTTTTTATGCGTCAATGTGACTGGCTCAGAAGATGCCCAGATATCTGGTTAAACATTATTTATAAGTGTGTCTATGAGAGCGATTCTAGAAGAGGTTAGAATTTGCATTGGTAGACTGAGTAAAGTAGATGGTTCTCCCCAGTGTGAGAGGGCATTATCCGACCTGCTGAGGACTCAAATAGAACAAAAAGGTAGAGGAAGTTTCACTTTACTCTCAGCATCTGGCTGCCTAGGCTAAGACATCTGTCTTCTTTCTTCCTTACACAGGGACTTATACCATCAGAGTTCCTGGTTCTCAGGCCTTCGGACTCAAACCAGAGTTTACAACACTGGCTCTCCTGGGTCTCTACTTCTCAGCTTCTCCAAGTATGTGATTCTATATATATACACGTGTGTGTGTGTGTGTTTATATATTTATTTGTAATCAATTCAATTTTTATTTTAATTCTTTTCATTAATATAATTTATATATTTATTTTAATTTTTATATTTTATATACATAAAATCTTCTGTTACTTTGACCCATTGTCCCACTGTCATCTCGCAATAACTTTTCATCACACATCTCTCCTTCATGGCATTTAAGGCACCTATATTTATATTTATTTGTGTAATTAATTGGTCAATGTCTGTTTTCCAGACAGATTGCAAACTCCAAAAAGGCAGACTATCCTGTTGTACTCACTATTATATTCCCAGAGCTTAAAAAAGTGTTCAGTGTATACTGGCTGAATTAATTGAATAAAATAAAATAGGATCACATCATGTTTTTTTCTTCACTGTAGCCTACTGACATAAAGACTTTAAATTTTTCTTAGTGACATACGAAAATGGGTTACTGTCTTCCTTCCCACCATGTCTTTCTGTTTCATTTTTCTTGATTATTCTTAACACTACTTGTCTATTTTATGTTAGGTTTCTCAAACTAAAGCCCGACTTGGGATAGGTGATACCAGGAAACATGAGGAAGACAATGAGGAGAGTGACGCAGTAGAGAAGCCCAGCCAGAGAAGGAGACGGGAGCAAGATTCCAATCTGAACGAAGAGGCACCGCATTCCACACCCTCAGAAGACTGGCTGGTCTTCATTCTGTGGTATAACTAGAAGCGGGGAATTGAGTGGGGAGCTGGAAATTACGCATCTTGGAGGAAGGGCCAGTCAAATTAGTAGGCCACGGACTCATTGCTCATGTAGATTCTGGGGACGCAGTGTGGCATAGTGGTTGAGATGCAGGCTGTAGAGTTAGACAGACGTGGTTCAGACCGAGGTAGGTTTGAGATCTGCTTCACCAGTGTACCTATTGGGGAGCTTTGGACTGTAGTCAATAGAAAACTTAACCCAGATGAGCTTCAACAATAAGGAAATGTATGGACAGCTGGAAATTCAAGTTCGGGTAACCTTCAAGGTCAGCTTCATCCAGTGGCTCTTTTTTTTTTTTGCCATATTTTCCTCCCTCAAAAAGTACATGTACTTTTCTCTGTCTGCTTTGTTCCCAGGCTGGCTCCTCCCTTGGTGATTGTGCATGCATGCCACTTTCCCAACATCAGTCTTTTTCCTCTTGTGGGAGATCCCAGATTTTTTTTTTCTTATTGTAAAGACAATATATGTTCATTTTAAGAATTTGTAAAATAAAGAGAATAATACATAAAAATTAAAATTATCACTAATTCTTCTATTTTGAAAAATCTCTGATGAGCATATATATATATATTTGACATATACTTGTGTATATCTTTAAGATATATCTGTGTATATGCATGTGTGTAAATATCTCATCATGTATGTTAAAACAGTTTGGCTTTCATTTATATTCTGTTTGCCAGATTTAATCTTCTCTTATTAGACATTTTGTTAGGTTTCAATAAACATGACATTACTTTTCCAGAAAGAAATTAATTTGGACTTTCTATAGTTGTTTAAATCTAAATGACCAAGTTGTGCCTTTTATGCAAAGGTATTAAACCTAATTTCCTTGCAGCAGGGTTTCTGTTTAGTTGATAGTACTTGTTTTTACTTAGAACACTTGGCCGATTTGAAATTGAGCATTAGTCTTCTGGTTTTGCCTTGTGTTGTTTGATGTTGGATTTGAGAATAGTTTGCCTGGGGCCCTCTTAAACCCACATTGAAATAATTTCCTTGTCTGGTGATTTTTATGTTAGAAAAGTTCCGTGAACTTGTATCATATTTACTCCCTGGTGCAAGGTTACTGTGCTCTCTGGGGCATTCCTGTACACATACGTTTATGAACATAAGGATAGTAAATTGATTGTGGAAAATTCCCTTTATACATATAGAGGAAATGCTTCTTAATAATATATACATTCTAAGTCTAACACTGCCAAGAATATAAAACCCCAAATCCCTAGCCTGTGAAACTAGATTTGTGTGTGTGTGTGTGTGTTTGTATGTGTGTGTGTCAAGACACAGAGCTTGGTCCCCATCACCTGCGGGTAATTAGCTGGAACTGCGGGGTGCATCTGGCTATCCTTGTAGATATCAGTCTCTGTTATGCAGAACCAATAATGGTTTCTCATTCTGGAAGCAAACCCCTGCTAATCTTGGTGAAATAGCAGTAGCACTCACAGCAGCTCTGCTTTGATTAAAAATTAATGGTGTTGTGGGCACTGGGAATTAATTATGAGCTGTGAAATCTATGTCTGATATGTTTAAGAAAAAAGAAAACTATGCTCAAAATAGACTATTTTCAGTGCATTTTGGATGTTCCCTTTCTACCACAAAAAAGGTTTAATTGATTTCAATAACTCCTTTTTTTGCTCTTTTTATTTAAAAAATACACAGTTCTAAGTGCTTGTTTTGCTCTTCAATGATTAAAAAAAACAAATAGTTCTTCCTTCCAAATAATTATTTCTAATAAAACTGGTAATACATTCTTAATTTTGCTGGCAGTTTGGGTACAAGAATGTTTATATCTATTGCAAGCTTAGAACAATAGTAATGAAATCAGAAGAGATTTATTATTTGCTGCTGTTACTTGTTTAATATTTGTTTCTGTTAATTATTTGAATTACATGAAATATGTTTTGCATGAAATCTTTCAGTATGAAGGAACAGATGCTTGGGAAGATAGAAAAGAATCCTTTTGCTTTGGGAATGTTTTGTCCTATTTTTTTATGATGTGGAATTTGGTGCTTTTGCAAGGTATTCTAGATGGTTAATGAGGTCTGGTAAGGATGATATGACAGGCTTATAGGAAGTGCTAATTTTTACAAATGTGTTCTTTCAGGATTTGCCCTCAAGATTTTGCTACCCTACGTTTTAAAAGAAAAAGCTCAAAGTAAGGTATTTATGTCCTGAAATCTGTAGGGCATGCTCTTTCCTTCCTTCTTCCCTCCCTCCCTGCTCCCTCACCTTTTCTTCCTTCTCATTCATTTATTCATTCAATGATTTCTTCATCCCCCATTTTTGATTACCTTAGGTGTTCACTGCACTTGGTTCTCTCTGAGACATGAAGATAAAACAAAGCCCTAATGAGCCTTTATTTAATCCTTATTGCAACCCTATGGGTTAAGGTTAAACTGTCATTGCCATTTAAGAAATCAAGGCTTAGGAAGTTAAGTCCTTGGTTGCTCAAGGTCGCTGAGTTAGAAAATAATAGGTTAGGGTCTTTTTTTTTCTGTCTTTGCCTCCCTTGGAGCGAACCCTCTCCCTATGTGTCAGAGATGGCTCTGAACCCAGATCTGTGGGTTTCCAAAATGTAAGCTCATTACCCTACACCATTCTGCATTAACACATGAGATAGAAAAATGTGAGAACGATGAAACATGATTTAAATAGACTGAACTAAAATGTAGATGAATCCATGGATGATAAAATCTTCAGGAAGTTAATTTAAAAAGATACCATTTATTGTGCACTATTATGTCCAAGAAGTATTTACATTAGTTATCACTCCTTTTTTTATTGTGTATGTGGTTTTTTCCAAAATTTTTTAAATTACACTTTAAGTTCTGGGATACATGTGCAGAACGTGCAGGTTTGTTACATAGGTATACACGTGCCATGGTGGTTTGCTACAGCCATCAACCCATCGTCAACATTAGGTATTTCCCCTAATTCTATCCCTCCCCACAAGTCCCCCACCCTCCAACAGGCCCCTGTGTGATGTTCCTCTCCCTGTGTCCATGTGTTCTCATTGTCTCACATTAAAAGTGAGAACATGCGGTGGTTTTCTGTGTTAGTTTGCTGAGAATGATGGTTTCCAGCTTCATCCATGTCCCTCCAAAGGACATGAACTCATCCTTTTTAATGGCTGCATAGTATTCCATGGTATGTATGTGCCACATTTTCTTTATCCAGTCTATCATTAATGGACATTTTGGTTGGTTCCAAGTCTTTGCTATTGTGAATAGTGATGCAATAAACATATGTGTGCATGTGTCTTTATTGTAGAATGATTTATAATACTTTGGTTATATACCCAGTAATGGGATTGCTGGGTCAAACGGTGTTTCTGATTCTAAATTCTTGAGAAATTTTCACACTGTCTTCTACAATGGCTGAACTAATTTACACTCCCACCAACAGTGTAAAAGCATTTCTATTTCTCCACATCCTCTCTAGCATCTGTTGTTTCCTGAATTTTTAATGATCGTCATTCTAACTGGCATGAGATGGTATCTCATTGTGGTTTTGATTTGCATTTCTCTAATGATCAGTGATGATGAACTTGTTTTCATATGTTTGTTGACTGCATAAATGTCTTCTTTTGAGAAGTTTCTGTTCATATCCTCTGCCCACTTTTTGATGATGTTGTTTTTTTCTTGTAAATTTGCTTAAATTCTTTATAGATTCTGGATGTTAGCCCTTTGTCAGATGGATAGATTGCAAAAATTTTCTCCTATTCTGTAGGTTGCCTGTTCACTCTGATGATAATTTCTTTTGCTGTGCAGGAATTCTTTAGTTTAATTACATCCCATTTGTGAACTTTGGGTTTTGTTGCCATTGCTTTTGGTGTTTTAGTCATGAAGTCTTTGCGCATGTCCAGAATGGTATTGCTTAGGTTTTATTTAGGGTTTTTATGGTTTTAGGTCTTACATTTAAGTCTTTAATCCATCTGGAGTTAATTTTTGTATAAGGTGTAAGGAAGGGGTCCAGTTTCAGTTTTCTGCGTATGGCTAGCCAGTTTTCCCAATACCATTTATTAAATAGGGAATCCTTTCCTCATTGCTTGTTTTTGTCAGGTTTGTCAAAGATCAGATGGTTGTAGATATGTGGTGTTATTTCTGAGGCCTCTGTTCTGTTCCATTGGTCTATATATCTGTTTTGGTACCAGTGTTATGCTGTTTTGGTTACTATAGCCTTGTAGTATAGTTTGAAGTCAGGTAGCATGATGCCTCCAGCTTTGTTCTTTTGGCTTAGGATTGTCTTGACCATGCGGGCTCTTTTTTTGGTTCCATATGAACTTTAAAGTAGTTTTTTCTAATTCTTTGAAGTAAGTCAATGCCCAAAGTAACTTATAGATTCAATACTATCCCTATCAAGCTACCATTGTTATCATTAACTCTTGCTGAAATCCTATAAGGGTTGCCCCATCTACAGATGGAAAACTGTGGCTTACTTTAGAAAGATTATCTTGCTAAAGACCGTAGATCTAGTAAAAGTTTGGAGATTTAAAGCCAAGTATGCTTGATTTAGGTTCTTCTCATGACACCACATGATCTTTGGAGGATGAAGTCATAGAGAGCCACTTGCTATGACAGAGAGGAATCAACTAGAAGTTTACATATTCTCTTATTGGGTGCTTAGCATATGCCAGCCTCTGTGCCAAGCACCTAAGCTACAACACTTGTGGAGAGACAAATCCTTCCCTCAAAAACCTACTGTCTAGTCCTTCTGACACTGAAATCAAAGCTGCTTTTAGCCCACTGCCTATGAGAACATTTCTGACATAGCTATCTATTTTGACTAAAAATGGTGCATAATCAAGCCATATTTCTGAAATTGTTAATTAGGAAATCAGTTTTCTGTTTTCATTAAGGACAAGTGTCTTTGGTGAGAAGAGGAAAGAATAAAAGTTAATATTTGGTGAAACACTGGGCCACACTAACCGTCACATTAACCACGGGAAGAAAGACAGCTTTGGGGTTTTAACTGTTTAGAGGCCTCTTATTAAAAAAAAAAAGTTATTTGAAGTTGCTATGGCTACATTTTATTCATAAAGGTAAAACAATTGAAAAAGTGGCCTAGAGAAATAATAATAAAGTCATGAGCCAACATTTGCCAGGTGCTCACTGCATGCTCGGCACCATACCACATGCCTACATGTGTCATTTAATGTAATCCTCATGACAACCCCAGCAGATAGCCTTATAATTCTCATTTTACAGAGCAGACTGAGGCACAGACAAGTACAGTAAATATGCCCAAGGTCAAACAAAATAATGGGAATTTGAACCTAGGTAGTTTATGATCCAGGTTGATTAA